GAGAGAGAGAGAGAGGGATGGCATGATGCATGATATCATTCAATACAAGTTTCACAGTTACCTGAAAATACGAGGAGTGTCTTGCAGCCAGCATTCTTACCAAAGAGGATATCTGTGTCTAACCTGTCTCCGACCATGCACATCTTAGGAGTATCAATTTGAAATCTGCATAGGGCATGGGCATTTGAAAATTTAGATATCAGAAGCAATTATGAAACAAAATAAGCATGTGCAACTTTGTCCTTTTCTCATCTATTCTTCTAGATTATTTGCTTATTAATCTCTGCCAACCAGTCGGCTGAATTGATAAGAGAGTGGCGGTAAATCCCTTGCAAGTCCAGATTAAGTTTCATGAAGATTAAAAACTAGAGATCGATTTGGAAGTTTGCTGATCTTTTCTATTCTGATTTGTCTTGCAACATTTTCTTCTATCATAATCGTAAATTTCTGAAGTCATTTCACACTAACTTTTAGAAATCATTGACTTCATAGATCAGAGATTTATACCAGACAGGCATGACAAAATTCAAGTGTTTCACATCAAAAATTCATTCTATAGGTTCGACCACCACAAGAAAAATAACAAATTTTATGCTGGAAAAGTTGAATAAGCAAATAAGAAGTTCTTTTAATTGGTCTCTCATACCTCTCCAACAAGAAGTCCATCATGAAGGTTGAAGGCTTCCCAACAACAATAGGTTCCTTTTGTGTGGATCCACATATCGCAGCTACCATGGTTCCAGCACCTGAATTCCAAGAGAGAGCGCCAATATTACTTAAATATACAGTGATAAACCTAGCAAATACTCTCATCCAGTTATTGACAACGTAAAATTTAGGTCTGACAATGGGGTTATGCCGAACCCCTGGCTGGCAGGTTGACCCAAACCCAGATCAGGATTAAGGCCCAAGTTTTGGCTCATGAGAGTCAAATCCAAGTCTAGAAGTTATAGACTTGGTAGTAAGGTAGGGTTTGGGACTAGCTTGGACCTAACCTAGTCCGTTGGGCACAACCATAGCCACTGGGTCCAATCAGCTACAACCAGACCGAGTCTCGGTTGATCCCTGGACCAACCTGAATCCAATCCTACTTGTTGACACCCCAAGATAAATGGTCCGTCCTGTCTGAAAAATCTCAATTATATTCTGAAGACTACAGTACCTCCTACTTGAATAATCTACTTAAGTAAGAAGATTCATTGAAAGTTAGATAAGGCAGATAGTTTGCATACTTAAACCATAAGTCATTGCCTTTGGGATTCACACACAGACACAAATGACACTTTTGCAAGAAGCTATGATCTTGAAATGAAGATGCAGGGACTTGAGAAAATAACCTGGCCATTCTTGTGACGTAAGATGACCAATGGCATCACGATTCGTCGCAATGAACAGGCATCCTGAATTCTCACGTATACAAAGTGTTCCATACCTGCGAATTTGAAAGTCCAATGACAGATACAGAAAGAGATGCATCCCATTTCTCAATAATTACTCTAATAATCTTTATCTACTCATAAGACAAAATAAATAGGAGTATGACTTTCAAATTCCTCACTGCTCTTATTTTTTTCTGCAAATTTCCTAGAATATCTCCCTCTAAATATTCATCCCTGAAATCTCTTTAACTGAAAATGTTTTTAATTTGTTATGCAAATCAAATGATAATGTTGCCAACGAAAAGCTAGAAATTTAAATACCTATTAAAGCAATACTGAATGAGTTGAAAATACAATAAGAATTAAAGGATTATATTATAGAAATCAGACAATTAACCACAATGTTTCTTTAGTTTCCTTATGTCAACAGAATGTACATGCCAACCAACTATTCATTGGCATCTAGTCGTATCAACATCATAAGTTTTTTGAGGATAAGTATCATTTCCAACATTACCTTATGCCCAATTGGCTCGTCTTGACCGGCCAAATAATTTCAAATTTCCCTATCACTGAGTTCACCTCTTTTACACAAAGAAAAAGATTTTACTAAGTCAAGGTTCCTGCTGCCTTTAGAGAACATTCATAACCAGCCAATTGTCCCATGGTAGATATATAAAACAATTTCCACCACTCTCATAAATTTGATTCTAATTTTGTTTCCATTCTCCAATATTTTATCATCATTGGCATGTAGTTTTTCTTCTTCAATTTTTTTTATTTTTACATTTTATTTTGTTTATTTTTGAGGGAAAATGACTATTACCCCCCTCCCCGAAACTTCCATCCCTATTAGCCCCTTGGGTCACCAAAATCCGTTGTATCCCCTCAAATTTAAAATTTTGGGACTGATAGCCACCTAATTATCTTTTTCTTTGTATTTTTCACAAATTTGATCTTTTTGTTTTACAAAATGCTCACTTCCCTTTCTCTTCCGTTGCTTAAAACAATCTTACCTCCGTGGATCCCACTCTATAAATTTAGATATGAAAAAAAAAAAATAATAATAATAATATTATGACCTATTTTACAATTATATCAAATATCATTTGAACTTGAAAAATGATTAATCAGATATTTGTTACTATTGTTAATCGTTATTATTATTTATTTATTAAAAAAATTTGTCAAAATACCTATAAGAGATGAAATACTTAACAATTAATATATTATTGTTATTATTGTTATTATTATAATTATAAATTATTATCATTAATAAAATTTGTATATCAAGTCCTAAAGAAATATATGAAAGACTAATGTATGGGTTTGGCATTTTGTAAAACAAAGAGATCAAATTTGTAAAAAAAAAAAAAAACATAATTAGGGGGCTAATGGTCCCAAAGTTTAAAACTTGAGAGGGTGCAAGGGATTTTGGTTAACCTAGGGGGTTAATAGGAATCGAAATTTTTGAGAGGGCATTAAAAGTCATTTTCCCTATTTTTATTACATTTGATTTAATTTTTTTCTTACAATTTCAAAGAACATTGAAAATGAAAGGAGGCAAGTCCAGTCTAAGCCGATGTTGAATCCCCTGATCAATTATACCTGTATTCTATAGTATGCTAACATGTTTATCCATTTAGAAATCAACTTAACCATCTTAATTGAGATTAAGTCCAGATTAAAGATTCCAGAACAAGCCTGCAAGTTTTTTAGCACTTTTCTCACAACTATTTTGAAAAGGTGTAAAGGAAAGCAAGGAAAGGACTAACTATCTCACTGGAGCTTATAATAGTTTATATACTGGTCAAGTCCAACAACAACTGCTCCAACCTGGAAAAAGTAAATGCCCATGTCAATCCTATCTGTTGGTTTGAGGATTATATGTCAAAACATGAATATGGGATTCATTCTTAGAACTGACCAGACATTTCAGATAAAACTACTAAGAAAACTTATGGGGTCAAGATCATACATCCTTATCGTGTTCGAAAAAGAAATTCGAATTGAGCTGTATCCTTTTGTTTCCATCTTCCTGCAATGGATACAGAGTCCAGATCAATAATAACGAAATGGTCAACTTAAAATCCAGCTTGGTAAATCAAATTTATCCACAAAAACTATAGCAATTTCAAATGATTTTAGCTTTAGTGTAAGAACAAACAAAAATGCTTTTCGGTGGGACTTGTGAAACATGATCACATCTTTCAGTAGGACAACAGAGAATGCCTGTGGGAATTGTCTCAGACAAATGACATTAGTGCATAGAAGCATGGAAACATAATTCTTTTGGGTGTTGGAAAGCGAATTGTTTTGCATAATAAAATCTTTATGTGCAGTTCAAGCTTCAAAGCCTTTGTGCTCTTTAGAATGGAAAACACAAGTCTGGATATAGAGCAAAATAATTGCCAATATCACATTGAAAACAAGAAAGCTTCTTGTCATAGTTTCTCCAAGGGAGTTGATTACACTGTAAATTTTTTAGCCCTACCGGTCCTCCAAGGCATGTATAACCAACAAGCTCCAATTCTTCCAAAATGCCTTCCTCACCAATAACATAAACCTGTAGAGTAATAATTTTGTCAAATCATGTATGCTATTTGCTTCATCTCACCACCTAATTTATATGAAGAAAAAATGAAATATAATGTGATGCATTTCTAGGAACAATGCTTTGTGAACAGATTTACCCATTGAAAGGCCATTTTGGAACATGCTTTTGGGTGGCGAAAAGAAAGGGGTTAACTAGGCAATGGTCTTATTCTGTCATAGGCAGTGGAGAAATTGATAATGAGGCAACAAGCCCAAGGAAAGGCATGTTTCTATTCTTGTGAAGGGTTGACAATATGCACAATCGAAGATCACAAAGAGAAAAGTGTACAATCTTACTGGAAGCAATATTAACATGAGCAACAATACATCTCCCTTAATAAAACATGACCAACAATATCCAAACTTTTGGAAAACATCCATCACATATTAAGGCTTACTTCACCAATACGGAAAAAGTTATTTTTCTTTTTAATGCAATACTGAAAAGGTTCTATTGAGTTCATAGAGAAGTCATTCTAACAATGCTCAGAGAAAAATTATTATCAAGCAAAAGATCGGCAATTATGGCCAGTTCCATTGTACGCCATCCCAATATCCAATATGCTCCATTGAAACTGCATAACATTCAAATGGAAACTAAATGCAAGGCTTGCCAATCTAACAAAAAAAACAAAGCAGATAACAAGGATCTAAGATCTAATTAATTTTCTCATAATATTATCATTAATCATGGCATTCGTTTCTCATGGTGCAGTATCGTAACCATCCAAACACATTCCATTCAGAAACAATAATGGGGTTTACTGGATGTTGAGTGCAAAGAGTCCGCTAGCAGGGCGGTAGTTTCAGATATTATCAAGGGTTTGGATTGCCTAGGAACATGGAGCACCATTATGAACTAGGAGCACAACTGGGAGGTTTCAAAAATCATATTAGTTTTGTTGTACCCATAACCATAAAAGCCCACAAACACAAAATTCAGTCTTATACTGCACAAACATATTATGCACCAATTCTGCGAGGCAACAGGAATATGAAGATAACTTGCTGCAAATTCATATCTAATACAAAATCCGTATGAGTGCAGAAGGAGATAGATACAAATGGATACTCCTATTCATGTATGCATGTACACAAACATATATATGCAAGAAAAATATCAACATTTATACACACATGGAAAGGGTAAGGAAGGAATGCCATCGAGGGAAAAGGTCTCGAGTCATTTGCTTAGTCGGAAGGAGGTGAAGAGACCTCTGCACAGGGTGGTTTGGACACGAAGCTATCAAAGTGAATTGGGCCCTATTGGGAACGACGAATTGGAGGTTTGGACACGAGTCATGATTTTTTGTTGAATCAACCTCTAGGAAAAAATGTGTATGCTATCCTAAGATGAATGAAATACAATTAAGAATTCACAAAATAAACTGACCTTCTTCTCTTTTGGAAAATTGATAGATTTAAGGTAAGCTGCTGCTGCAAAAGACGAAGAAAAAATTTCCTCCTATTGACAGAAAAAGAGGCAACCAGATAGTTAACATATAGTCAAAACTCTAGAGGTACGAAATGAAAAAGATCTTGAGCAGATATTTACTTCATTCACAGAAATGCCGAACGTTTGAAACTTCTTCGCATATTGCTTTCTCGATTTTGTTGAGTTGTTTGTCACAAATACCAATTTCTTTCCCTGTCAAAAGGAGTTGAATACTCTTTTAAATAAAGACATCATTTCTAAAAGCAAGTCACACTGAAATTTCCATGTTTTGAAATGCCAAAAATTGACTTCAGGTCATATCATAACCTCTGTACATGAAAAGAGATCATCAATTTTTGAATGACCTGAAGAAAAAAAGAAAAGAAAAAAAGTCCGATCCATACACTTTATAGTTTATATGAGGCATACTGACTTTTCAAGCATTTCACGAATAATATAATGGCCAACCAAATGAGCACAAAATCAGTTGGACAACTAGGTAGCATCATTGGAAAATACAGCACCAGTAATCCATCCTTTATCAATATGATCAAATTCTGGAAATGACGAAACTGATGCACACAATCAACTTAAATAATAAGAAATACATTCTATTTTAGAAAACTAAAATATTGAAACCCACAAACCTTCGATCGAAGCATCTCTAATGTTTCCGGGACACCATCTATAAGAGTGTCTCCCTTCCATATGACACCTGCAAAATTGCAGGAATCAAGCCAAATAATATTTTCATGCTCTTTCACAGCAAATACATAAGAAATATGCATTACTTTTCACTGAAAGTGCAACATTTGTAGATTCATTTCAAAATCTACCATTCAAGCAGCTAACAAACACATAAAATTTGTCACTCCTGAATCCTCATAGATAATGAAACAAACCAATACAAAAAGTTCATTGATAAATAATGTTCAACAACAAATCATTACTACAATAGAAAGAAACAGAAAATGATACTTTTAATCCTCTTACTCACCATCACAGTCGAAGAGAAAAGCATCGACTGAATTTATGAGAAACTCTGCATTTTGAGACGAAAGAAATTGGGGTCTAGAATCATCAGTCCCAGTGTCGTCCATAGGAGAAAATCGGACACCGAATAGGGCAAAAAATTGCAGAAAATTGCCCAACTATATCTAAAACAGGACCTTGGGCAGGGTAGCATATGAAAAATGACTGAAACGATAAATAATTTCAATAACAAAAACCCTAAATGGTGAAGCCATTGACATTTTTCGCCATTAGAGCAGTGCAAAATTTATGCCCAAAAATTGAGAGGGAGAGGCGCGTATTTGCATGGGAATGTTAAAAAAGAGCGCGAGCAATTCTGAGATCGAAATCTAGCCGATAATTTGTGACACGTGGTCGTGAAGGGGAATATTCCAAGTGGAAAAGGCACAATGGGCTGCGTTTAGGTGCCACTATGTTTTAGGGCTTGGGCTTGGGCTTGGGCTTGGGCTGGGGCTGGACTGGTTGTCGGTCAGCAACGTTCAGACGTTGCGTATCTCAAATTTCATTCCCATCACCGAACAACCCCAAAAAAAAAGCGCCACTGTGGTTTTTTTTACATGAAAAGTTTTCTATAAACCATCAGGTGCAAGGATTTGTCAAGGAAATTGATAATTCAGTTAAGAATCGCCCAATTTAAATTGAATTTAGCCCCCGCCTGATTCATATCTCGTAATATATCAGGATCGAACCGAATCGAATTTTGCCCCTGCCTTATTCAGATCTCGTAATATATCGAGAATCAACCGAGTCCCATCAAATTTAGCCCCTGCCTGACGCGGATCTCATAACATATCAGGATCCAACCGAGGCCCTCCAAAATTTGAAGGTTTGGGCTGGTTCCTTTTTCATTTTGAGAAGCCCCTCTAAAATTTGAAGGTTTGGACCCGATCGGTTTCTTTTTCATTTTGAGTTCCAGCTATGAATGTCAAACCTCTCACATGGCACTTGCCTCCCGGTGAGAAATTGATATTTTGACTTAGGGTCACGAAAATGTGGGACAATTATTTGGTTTTGTATATAAAATAAGACATCTATCACTAGGAAGGAATATTTCGGTGAAAACAAGACATTGAGAAAATCTATAAAAATTGCTTCTAGTAAAATCCTAATCTATTAAGGGATTAATAACTATTAAGAAAAACCCAAATTTTTTAAGATAAGTAAGCGGTCACGTAGAAAATTAAGAGTAGTGAGCATCCTAATGAGGATGTGAAATTTTAAAGAGGAATATTTAAGGGATTTAACATTTTGGACAAACCTAACCCATATTAGTACTCCCGGTAACATTTATCTCAAAAAAATTAGGGAAAATTACATAAATATCTGTTTTAGTTTTCTTTATTGCTAAAATACCGAATACTTTATGCTAAAAAGATAAAATTACCTATTTTCAATTTTTCAAAATCGAAATTACTCCAATTTCGGTTTTGAAGAACAAAAAATTTAAATTTCTGATTATTCAAAAATTGAAAAATATTTCTCTCTTGTGGATCCTCTAGGTATTCTCTCGAATACTCCCTCTCTGGAACCCCTTCTCTGTTTTTCTAAAACTTTATCTCTCTCGACCACCCCTCCCTCCCTCTCTCTCAATCAGAGACCCCCTCTCTACCCAAAATCTCTCTCTCTTAAACCATTTGCAATTCAGAGAGCTCTTCTCTATGTCTCTTAAACTCTCTCTCTCTCAACCCCTTTCTCCCTGAAACCTATCTATCTCAAACTATCTTTGCTAATCGGAGAAGCTATGGCTGTGGGGTTTGAAAGATGAGAGACCCCCTCTCTCTTTGAAATCTTTATTTCTGAAACCATATTTGCTAATCGGAGAGGCCATGATTGTGGAGTTTTGAATAGCAGACTGACAAAGGTGGGCATTTGGTTTATGGCTTGAAACTTGTCGGTTTTGGAAGAGAAAAATATTTTTAGTTATTAAAGAACCAAAAATTTTAAATTTTTCAGTTTTTCAAAAACCAAAATTGGCTTGACTTTGGTATTTGAAAACAAAAAATGGGTAGTTTCGTCTTTTTTAAAAAAATTGTTATAAAGTCCAAAAAAACGAACATATCAGTAATAACGGAAAGTATTCAATAATTTGATATTAATATAAACTAAAATGGATATCTACGTAATTTTTCCTATTCTCAAATTTATTTAATCATGATAAATTATAGTGATAATAATAACTCCCATAAAAGATAAAAAGAAAAAAACCCCATGAAAGATATTATCGTGCAAATCTTATTATCCAAGCACAAACCATGCATGTATGAGAATGTTAAAAATAGTACAAATCAATGTAGGTTAACAAATTTCTTCAAAACGTTTGAAAAACCCAATAAAATAATTAAAGAGATTAATTTTTAAAAAAAAAAACTAAAAAAATAATTGATTTTTCCCCTAAAAAGCTAAAAAATTAATTGTTCAACTCATGTTTGTTTTGAAAAGGTACTGAAAATTAAAAAGAAATATCGTTAATGAAATGGACAATTCATATCAATGTATGTTTAAAAGTGTAAAACATAAATGTAATGGGCATGGCTCATCAAAGTTACCAGGAGAAAGCATTAAAAATAAAAACAACAAAAGCAAAATTAATTGAAAAAACAAGGAGATTCACTAGGAACTATTTATGGAGTACATTGTTTTGTTTTTTTAAGTAAGGTATTTCTTCAATAAAAAGGCCAGTAATTGTTGATTGCGAAATGAATGTATTGGACAACATACACTCGGACATTAGACCGGTTTTTAATATTTATATATTTTTAGTAAAATAATAAAAAATCATAGTGCAACACCCCCTTTCTTTTTAGAATCAAATCCTATATTTTAAAAAAAATATTGTAATTTTTTGAAACTTTAAATCCACTATTAGGTGTAGAATTGTATATGTCAATCTTCTTACCATTTTGATCTTAATGGATAACTGGGATAGTTTAAAGGCGTATTCGTCATTTTATTTTGGGTGTCGTTGGCATACGGATGTATCCGTAAGTATAGAGGTAAGGTGCACCTTCAAATTTTATCATGATATATAATTTTGATGTAAAATGTTCTTAGGATTATCTCAAAATATATTTTTATATCTAATTATAACATTTTAAATTTTAAAAATGGTTAAAATCAAGTAGATCTATAAACATATAAAAATCTTGAAAATGGACAGTGTAGATAATATGTTGTAAAATGCATTATTTCTGAGACTCAAAATCTTTTTATTTTTCATGGTCATATATTTCAATGTTGAGATGATCAATCAAAGGGTTTTTCAATATTAAATCTATTTTTTCCGATGGATTTTTGTGGTGCATCCGTAGTTCTACGTTATAAGGTATCATCCTTATATGAACTTTTTCCTTTTATTTTACCAGGAATTTTTTTTTAAAGTTTTCCTTAGGTGCGAGCTTATAAGAGGATTTGACGCTCCAAATTAAATGTCAATATTATTTATATAAAAAACAAAAAACAATATTAATAGCCTTAATTTATTTGCCACCATGTATTCTCTTTATAACAACATTAACCTTCGCTTTTTTTTTTGGAGGAAGACCTTGGTGCACCTACACGACCCTTCCGCTATGTCACTTTGTTTCCTTTTACATGGCTACGTATAAAGAGTGGGGTTTGTATAAGATGTCTCCTTTATATTGTAGAAGTAAAGTATACATCTAAAATTTATTTGAATATTTAGTTTCGTTATTGACAACAATGTGTTGGCTTGTTATAATTTAGGACTTTTAATTATTATTTTTTTATATCCACATATCTAATGTCAAGACAATCAATTGGTGGGTTCTTGAACATCAAAACACTCATTTTGTAGAATTTTTGAGTCGTTGTAAGGTTGAAACCTTATATAAACTTAATTTTTTTCATGTAACAAAATTGTGCCTTATGTTGTGTACCCCGGAAAAGGTTTTGGATAGCCCACTCACTGTGAGATTCAAAACAAATAAATAATTAATTAGTGAAAAAAATATTAATAAGATAATGATAATAAGAAATTCAACAGGGGGATGACCCAACCAACAAATCTGATTTGGATGTATGATTTCTGATCAGATCTTGAGGTTTTAAAATATAACTCATGACATAGACTTGGAGAAAACTGACACCATTTTTGGCTTATTTTGAAGGCCCCATCCTGCCATCCAATTTAGATCTAGTGAGTCATTGATCGTTTGATCTATATCCTTCACCTTATAGTATTTTTTTTTTAGTTTTCTTTCTACAATTATATGAATATGAAATTTGGTACATGCCATCATCTCAATGGGACGCACTTAAAAAAATATTTTAGATAAAATACAATAACCAAAATATCCCTAAAACTTTTAGGGGCATTTTAGTTATTTTATTTTATTGATAATATTTTTTTATATTTTTTACCGGTGCAAGTTTAAGAGAGGATTGGACACCCAGATTTTGGTATGAGAAATATTTATTAAAAAAATTTAAATAAAATAGTGTAGAGATGTGACATTATGATTGGGTCAATTTTAGTCGTTCATTTATAGTAGACGGTTGGATAAGGGGAAGCATATAAATTTTATGCATTAGGGGAAGCACAAAAAGCTTACCCTGTTTTGAATCGTGTATGAGAAAAAAAAACTAAAAGTTGAATTTCTATTAGCAATATGAATGATTTGGCATTACAAAATATTTGGGGAAAATATACAATAAGCCTAATTCTCTTATTACGAAGAGGTTACAATCACTCTTACTAGTTAGATATAAAATCTAATGGCTGCGAATTTGCCGAGTTTGAACTGCAAAAATATCTTGTTCAATTTTATGACACATTCCAAACTATTAGACTTCACATCCAGCAATTAAGTTGATTATGACTTTTTTTTTTGGGTAGTTGATTATGACCTTTTTATACTATTTCTTTTTTTTTCAAGGAAATCATTAGAAATATACCTTAATTTTTGATTAATTAGGGAAAAAACCCTCAACTTTTATAAACCTCGTCTACACTTTTTTTCTTTGATTTTTAGCATTTTTTAAACAAAATAGCTTTCATGATAATCATATTACCGTGAAGCCCTAACATTACCTCCCTAGCATTGTGGTACTTTAAGTATTGTAATGACTACCGCATTTTATACAGCATTTTAAGTGCCACGATAACTCGAATCCTTATTATGCTACTATAAAGACCGTGATACTATCGTATCTTATAACTGACTTAAAGTGATAAAGTTGACATGTATTATGGTACTTAAAGTACCGTAATCGTATTGGATGATATCAACGGTGCAAAAAACAATTGTTATTATTTCTAAACTTAAAAGTCTCGCGCTTTTCTCTTTCCTTTCCACGATTTTCTTCATCCTAAAACCCTATCTTTCCATTCCACTCTCTCTAACCCCACCTCTCTTCCTTAGCCTATTCTCTCTCTCTCTCTCTCTCTCTCTCTCTTCCTTAGCCTCCTCTCTCTCTCTAATCTCTCATCCATTTTCTATCATCTCCTTTTATTTCTCAATCTTTGAATGAGGTCTCTGAGAGCTATTGCTCAATTCGTGAGAATCAAATATACACATAAACACTATTTTACTGTTATGTTATCAAAATCGTCAAGTTTTTAATTATATATTTCCTTGGATGGCAATTACAACACTTTGTAATAAATATTATGCTGTTTTTTTAGTGGTACTTAATGTAATTGGGTTGGCAATTGGAATTTTTTGTTTAAAATATTGCACAAATATGTTTTAGATCTGTATTTATATTGTGGCATCTGTATTGCAATCTCATGTCTCTCTATAATGCAACCTCTTCATTGCATATAAATATGTGGAAACATTTATACATGCATTGCGATCTTCCAATGTGTCATTGTTCTTGGA